TTGTGGTGATGGTTGTGGTGATGGTTGTGGTGATGGTTGTGGTAGGGACCTGGACCAGGCTAGTATGGAGGCTGTGGTTGTTGTGGTGATGGTTGTGGTGATGGTTGTGGTGATGGTTGTGGTAGGGACCTGGACCAGGCTAGTATGGAGGCTGTGGTTGCCCTCCTGGCTGGGCTTCCTCTCCAGCCGGAGGAGGGCGATGGTGGAGACCTCATGGAGGCCAAGTCACAGCTCTTCCTGAAGTACATAGACACAGAGACACATAGACACACATAGAGACACACATAGAGACACACATAGACACACACATAGACATACACATAGACATACATAGAGACACATAGAGACACACAGAGACCTCATGGAGGCCAAGTCACAGCTCTTCCTGAAGTACACACAGACACACATAGACACACACATAGACATACACATAGAGACACACATAGACATACATAGACATACACAGACACACACAGAGACCTCATGGAGGCCAAGTCACAGCTCTTCCTGAAGTACATAGACACAGAGACACATCGACATACATAGACATACATAGACATACATAGACACACAGAGACACACATAGACATACATAGAGACACATAGAGACACATAGACATACATGGAGACCTCATGGAGGCCAAGTCACAGCTCTTCCTGAAGTACATAGACACAGAGACATAGACACATAGACACACACATAGACATACACACAGACAGAGACACATAGACATACATAGAGACACACATAGACATACATAGACACACATAGACATACATAGACACACATAGACATACACATAGACATACATAGAGACCTCATGGAGGCCAAGTCACAGCTCTTCCTGAAGTACATAGACACAGAGACACGCATAGAGACACATAGACACATACAGAGACCTCATGGAGGCCAAGTCACAGCTCTTCCTGAAGTACATAGACACATAGACACACACATAGACATACACACAGACAGAGACACATAGACACACATAGACACACATAGACACACATAGAGACGCACATAGAGACACATAGACATACACATAGACACACATAGACATACATAGAGACACACATAGACATACACACAGACAGAGACATACATAGAGACACACATAGACATACATAGAGACACACAGACAGAGACACATAGACATACATAGAGACACACATAGACATACATAGAGGCACACACACAGACAGAGACATACAGACATACATAGAGACACACATAGACATACATAGACATACATAGAGACACACATAGACACACATAGACATACACACAGACAGAGATGCATAGACATACATAGAGACACACATAGACATACATAGACATACACACAGACAGAGACACATAGAGACACATAGACATACATAGAGACACATAGACATACATAGAGACACATAGAGACACACATAGAGACACATAGACATACATAGAGACACACATAGACATACATAGAGACACATAGACATACATAGACATACAGTGACCCATACATACATAGTGTCTGTGTGTGTGTGTCTGTGTGTGTCTGTGTATGTGTGTGTCTGTGTATGTGTGTATCTGTGTGTGCCTGTGTGTGTCTGTGTGTGTCTGTGTGTGTGTGTATCTGTGTGTGCCTGTGTGTGTCTGTGTGTGTCTGTGTGTGTGTGTGTCTGTGTGTGTCTGTGTGTGTCTGTGTCTGTGTGTGTCTGTGTGTGTCTGTGTGTCTGTGTGTGTGTGTGTGTCTGTGTGTGTGTGTCTGTGTGTGTGTGTCTGTGTGTGTGTGTGTCTGTGTGTGTGTGTCTGTGTGTGTGTGTCTGTGTGTGTGTGTCTGTGTGTGTCTGTGTCTGTGTGTGTCTGTGTCTGTGTGTGTCTGTGTCTGTGTCTATCTGTGTGTGTCTGTGTGTGTGTCTATGTGTGTGTCTATGTGTGTCTGTGTGTCTGTGTGTGTGTCTGTGTGTGTGTCTGAATGTGTGTCTGAGTGTGTGTCTGTGTGTGTCTGTGTGTGTGTCTGTGTGTGTGTCTGTGTGTGTGTGTCTGTGTGTGTGTCTGTGTGTGTATCTGTGTGTGTGTCTGTGTGTGTGTGTCTGTGTGTGTGTCTGTGTGTGTGTGTCTTTGTGTGTGTCTGTGTGTGTGTGTCTATGTGTGTCTGTGTGTGTCTGTGTGTTTATGTATCTGTGTCTGTGTCTGTGTGAATCTCCATGCATCTCCCCCCCTCCCCGCTACCCCCAGGTACTTCACGCTCTTCATGAACCTGCTCAATGACTGCAGTGAGGTGGAAGAGGATGGTGGTGGTGGTGGCGGTAGTGGCGGTGGCGGTGGTGGTGGTGGTGGTGGTGGCGGTGGTGGCGGTGGTGGTGGTGGTGGCTGTAGTGGGCGCAAGCGAGGAATGTCTCGCCGGCTGGCATCACTGCGGAACTGTACCGTGCTTGCCATGTCCAACCTGCTCAACGCCAACGTGGACAGCGGGCTCATGCACTCCATCGGTAGCCGGCACGCTCGCTCACTCACTCAGCCTCTCGCTCAGCCACTCAGACACTCAGCCATTCACTCACTCACTTACTCACTCATCCATTCACTCACTCACTCATCCATTCACTCGCTCATCCATTCCCTCAGCCACTCACTCAGCCTCTCGCTCACTCACTCAGCCACTCGCTCACTCACTCAGCCACTCACTCAGCCACTCACTCACTCACCCACCCACTCACTCACCCACTCAGCTACTCACTCACTCAGCCTCTCGCTCACTCACTCAGCCTCTCGCTCAGCCACTCAGACACTCGCTCAGCCACTCACTCGCTCATCCACTCACCCACCCACTCACTTACTCACTCATCCACTCACTCAGCCACTCACTCAGCCACTCACTCAGCCACTCACTCATCCATTCACTCACTCATCCACTCACTCATCCACTCACTCACTCACTCAGCCTCTCGCTCACTCACACAGCCACTCACTCAGCCTCTCGCTCAGCCACTCAGCCACTCACTCACTCACCCACTCACTCACCCACTCAGCCATTCACTCACCCAGCCTCTCGCTCACTCACTCAGCCACTCACTCAGCCACTCGCTCACTCACTCAGCCACTCACTCAGCCATTCAGCCACTCACTCATCCACTCACTCACTCATCCACTCACTCACTCAGCCACTCAGCCACTCACTCACTCACCCACCCACTCACTCACTCAGCCACTCACTCAGCCACTCATCCACTCAATCATCCATTCACTCACTCACTTACCCACTCACTCACTCATCCATTCACTCACTCACCCAGCCTCTCACTCACTCACTCATCCATTCACTCACTCATCCATTCACTCAGCCACTCACTCACCCACTCATTCACCCAGCCACTCACTCACCCACTCACTCACCCACTCACTCACTCACACTCTCACCCACTCACCCACCCACTCATTCACTCACCCACTCACCCACCCCCTCACTCACCCCCTCACTCACCCACCCACTCACCCACTCACTCACTCACACACTCACCCACCCCCTCACTCACCCACTCACCCACTCACTCACTCACACTCTCACCCACTCACCCACCCACTCACACTCTCACCCACTCACTCACCCCCTCACTCACCCCCTCACTCACCCACCCACCCACTCACTCACTCACACTCTCACCCACTCACCCACCCCCTCACTCACCCCCTCACTCACCCACCCACCCACTCACTCACTCACACTCTCACCCACTCACTCACCCCCTCACTCACCCCCTCACTCACCCACCCACCCACCCACTCACTCACCCACTCACTCGCTCACCCACTCACTCACCCCCTCACTCACCCACCCACCCACCCACCCACTCACTCACCCACTCACTCACCCACTCACCCACCCCCTCACTCACCCACTCACCCACCCCCTCACTCACCCACTCACTCACTCACTCACCCACCCCCTCACTCACCCACTCACCCACCCACTCACCACTCACCCACTCACTCACCCACTCACTCACTCACCCACCCACCCACCCACCCCCTCACTCACCCACCCACCCACCCACTCACTCACTTACTTACTCACCCACCCACCCACCCACTCACCCACTCACCCACCCACCCACCCCCTCACCCACCCACCCCCTCACCCACCCACCCACCCTCTCACCCACCCACTCACCCACCCACCTCACCCACCCACCCACCCTCTCCACTGCTACCCTGCGTCTCCAGGCCTAGGCTACCACAAGGACCTCCAGACTCGCGCCACCTTCATGGAGGTGCTCACCAAGATCCTACAGCAGGGCACGGAGTTCGACACGCTGGCCGAGACGGTGCTGGCTGATCGCTTCGAGCGACTGGTGGAGCTCGTGACGATGATGGGAGACCAGGGGGAGCTGCCCATCGCCATGGCACTGGCTAACGTGGTGCCCTGCTCTCACTGGGTAGGGCTCGCTCGCTCACTCACCCACACGCTCGCTCGCTCAGTCACTCGCTCGCTCGCTCACTCACTCGCTCGCTCACTGGTGGAGCTCGTGACGATGATGGGAGACCAGGGGGAGCTGCCCATCGCCATGGCACTGGCTAACGTGGTGCCCTGCTCTCACTGGGTAGGGCTCGCTCGCTCACTCGCCCACTCGCCCCACTCGCTCGCTCGCTCAATCGCTCGCTCACTCACTCACTCACTCACTCGTGACGATGATGGGAGACCAGGGGGAGCTGCCCATCGCCATGGCACTGGCTAACGTGGTGCCCTGCTCTCACTGGGTAGGGCTCGCTCGCTCACTAGTTCACTCACTCGCTCGCTCGCTCGCTCGCTCGCTGTCTCGCTCGCTCGCTCGCTCAGTCACACACTCGCTCGCTCACTCGCTCACTCACTGGTGGAGCTCGTGACGATGATGGGAGACCAGGGGGAGCTGCCCATCGCCATGGCACTGGCTAACGTGGTGCCCTGCTCTTACTGGGTAGGGCTCGCTCGCTCACTCACCCACACGCCCACTTGCTCGCTCGCTCAATCGCTCGCTCACTCACTCACTCACTCGTGACGATGATGGGAGACCAGGGGGAGCTGCCCATCGCCATGGCACTGGCTAACGTGGTGCCCTGCTCTCACTGGGTAGGGCTCGCTCGCTCACTCACTCGCCCACTCACTTGCTCGCTCGCTCAGTCACTCGCTCGCTGTCACTCGCTCGCTCAGTCACTCGCTCAGTCACTCACTCACTCGCTCAATCACCGACTCGCTCGCTCGCTCAGTCACTCGCTCGCTCACTCACTCACTCGCTCGCTCGCTAACTTGCTCGCTCACTCGCTCACTCACTCACTCGCTCACTCACTCGCTCACTCACTCGCTGTCTCGCTCACTCGCTCGCTTGCTCACTCACTCACTCGCTCACTCACTCGCCCACTCACTCGCCTACTCACTCACCCACTCACTCACCCACTCACTCACCCACTCACTCACTCACCCACTCACCCACTCACTCACCCACTCACTCACTCACCCACTCACTCACCCACTCACTCACCCACTCGCTCACTCACTCACCCACTCACTCACCCACTCACTCACCCACTCACTCACTCACCCACTCACTCACCCACTCACTCACCCACTCACTCACCCACTCGCTCACTCACTGGTGGAGCTTGTGACGATGATGGGAGACCAGGGGGAGCTGCCCATCGCCATGGCACTGGCTAACGTGGTGCCCTGCTCTCACTGGGTAGGGCTCGCTCGCTCACTCGCTCGCCCACTCGCTCGCTCGCTCGCTGTCCGCTGTCTCGCTCGCTCGCTCGCTCACCCACTCGCTCAATCACCGACTCGCTCACTCATTCACTCACTCGGTCACTCACACGCTCACTCGCTCGCTCTCTCACTCGCTCACTCACTCACCCACTCACTCACTCACTCACCCACTCACCCACTCGCTCACTCGCTCACTCACTCACCCACTCACCCACTCACCCACTCACCCACTCACTCGCTCGCTCACTGGTGGAGCTCGTGACGATGATGGGAGACCAGGGGGAGCTGCCCATCGCCATGGCACTGGCTAACGTGGTGCCCTGCTCTCACTGTGTGTGTGTGACTGTGTGTGTGTGTGTGTGACTGTGTGTGTGTGACTGACTGTGTGTATGTAAGACTGTGTGTGTGTGACTGACTGTGTGTGTGTGAGTGACTGTGTGTGTGTGTGACTGTGTGACTGTGTGTGTGAGACTGTGTGTGTGTGAGACTGTGTGTGACAGTGACTGTGTGTGTGTGTGACTGTGTGTGAGACTGTGTGTGACAGTGACTGTGTGTGTGTGTGACTGTGTGTGAGACTGTGTGTCTGTGTGTGCGTGTGACTGTGTGCGTGTGTTCGTGTTTGTGACTGTGTGTGTGACTGTGTGTGTCTGTGAGAGACTGTGTGTGTGTGACTGTGTGTGAGACTGTGTGTGTGTGTGTGACTGTGTGTGTGGCTGTGTGCGTGTGTCACTGTGTGTGACTGTGTGTTTGTGTTTGTGACTGTGTGTGGGTGATTGTGTGTGTGTGACTGTGTGTGTGACTGTGTGTGTGACTGTGTGTGTGACTGTCTGTGTGTGTGTGTGACTGTGTCTGTGTGTATGTGTGACTGTGTGTGTGACTGTGTGTGTGTGTGACTGTGTGTGTGACTGTGTGTGTGTGTGACTGTGTGTGTGTGACTGTGTGTGTGTGTGCGACTGTGATTGTGTATGTGACTGTGTGACTGTGACTGTGTGTGTGTGTGTATGTGACTGTGTGACTGTGACTGTGTGTGTGTGTGACTGTGTGTGTGTGTGACTGTGTGTGTGTGTGACTTTGTGTGTGTGACTGTGTGTGTGTGACTGACTGTGTGTGTGTGTGACTGTGTGTGTGACTGTGTGTGTGTGTGTGTGACTGTGTGTGACTGTGTGTGTGACTGTGTGTGTGACTGACTGTGTGTGTGACTGACTGTGTGTGTGTGACTGACTGTGTGTATGTAAGACTGTGTGTGTGTGACTGACTGTGTGTGTGTGAGTGACTGTGTGTGTGTGACTGTGTGACTGTGTGTGTGAGACTGTGTGTGTGTGTGACTGTGTGTGAGACTGTGTGTGAGTGTGTCTGTGTGTGCATGTGACTGTGTGTGACTGTGTGTGTGCCTGTGTGTGAGACTGTGTGTGACAGTGACTGTGTGTGTGTGTGACTGTGTGTGAGACTGTGTGTCTGTGTGTGCGTGTGCCTGTGTGCGTGTGTTCGTGTTTGTGACTGTGTGTGTGTCTGTGAGAGACTGTGTGTGTGTGACTGTGTGTGTGTGACTGTGTGTGAGACTGTGTGTGTGTGTGTGGCTGTGGCTGTGTGCGTGTGACTGTGTGTGTGGCTGTGGATGTGTGCGTGTGTCACTGTGTGTGACTGTGTGTGTGACTGTGTGTGTGTGTTTGTGTTTGTGACTGTGTGTGTGTGATTGTGTGTGTGTGACTGTGTGTGTGACTGTGTGTGTGACTGTGTCTGTGTGTGTGTGACTGTGTCTGTGTGTATGTGTGACTGTGTGTGTGTGACTGTGTGTGTGTGTGGCTGTGTGTGTGTGTGTGTGTGACTGTGTGTGTGACTGTGTGTGTCACTGTGTGTGTCACTGTGTGTGTCACTGTGTGTGTGTGACTCTGTGTGTACAGGACGAGTTGGCACGTGTACTAGTGACTCTCTTTGACTCGAGACATCTGCTGTACCAGCTACTCTGGAACATGTTACTGTGTGTGTGTCACTGTGTGTGTGTGACTGTGTGTGTGTGTGTGTGACTGTGTGTGTGTGTGACTGTGTGTGTGTGTGTGACTGTGTGTGTGTGTGTGACTCTGTGTGTGTGACTGTGTGTGTGTGTGTGTGACTCTGTGTGTACAGGACGAGTTGGCACGTGTACTAGTGACACTCTTTGACTCGAGACATCTGCTGTACCAGCTACTCTGGAACATGTTACTGTGTGTGTGTGACTGTGTGTGTGTGTGACTGTGTGTGACTGTGTGTGTGAGACTGTGTGACTGTGTGTGTGACTCTGTGTGTACAGGACGAGTTGGCACGTGTACTAGTGACACTCTTTGACTCGAGACATCTGCTGTACCAGCTATTCTGGAACATGTTACTGTGTGTGTGTGTGACTGTGTGTGTGACTGTGTGTGTGACTGTGTGTGACTCTGTGTGTACAGGACGAGTTGGCACGTGTACTAGTGACACTCTTTGACTCGAGACATCTGCTGTACCAGTTACTCTGGAACATGTTACTGTGTGTGTGTGGGACTGTGTGTGTGACTGTGTGTGTGTGTGACTGTGTGTGTGTGTGACTGTGTGTGTGTGTGTGTGACGGTGTGTGTGACTGTGTGACTGTGTGACTGTGTGTGTGTGACTGTGTGTGTGACTGTGTGTGTGTGTGTGACTGTGTGACTGTGTGTGTGTGACTCTGTGTGTACAGGACGAGTTGGCACGTGTACTAGTGACACTGTTTGACTCGAGACATCTGCTGTACCAGCTACTCTGGAACATGTTACTGTGTGTGTGTGTGACTGTGTGTGTGTGTGACTGTGTGACTGTGTGTGTGTGACTCTGTGTGTACAGGACGAGTTGGCACGTGTACTAGTGACACTCTTTGACTCGAGACATCTGCTGTACCAGCTACTCTGGAACATGTCACTGTGTGTGTGTGTGACTGTGTGTGTGAGTGACTGTGTGACTGTGTGTGTGTGACTCTGTGTGTACAGGACAGTTGGCACGTGTACTAGTGACACTGTTTGACTCGAGACATCTGCTGTACCAGCTACTCTGGAACATGTTACTGTGTGTGTGTGTGTGACTGTGTGTGTGACTGTGTGTGTGTGTGACTCTGTGTGTACAGGACGAGTTGGCACGTGTACTAGTGACACTCTTTGACTCGAGACATCTGCTGTACCAGCTACTCTGGAACATGTTCTCCAAGGAGGTGGAGCTCGCGGACTCGATGCAAACTCTCTTCCGGGGCAACAGCCTCGCCAGCAAGATCATGACCTTCTGCTTCAAGGTGTTCGCGCTGGTGCCGGCGGCAGCGGCGGCGGTGGTGGTGGCGGTGGTGGTGGTGGTGGTGGTGTTGTCAGGGTGGTGGTGGTGGTGGTGGCGGTGGTGGTGGTGGTGGCGGTGGTGGTGGTGGTGGTGTTGTCAGGGTGGTGGTGGTGGTGGTGGCGGTGGTGGTGGTGGTGGCGGTGGTGGTGGTGGTGGTGTTGGCAGGGGGGTGGTGGTGGTGGTGGCGGTGGTGGTGGTGGTGGCGGTGGTGGTGGTGGTGGTGTTGTCAGGGTGGTGGTGGTGGTGGTGGCGGTGGTGGTGGTGGTGGCGGTGGTGGTGGTGGTGGTGTTGTCAGGGTGGTGGTGGTGGTGGTGGCGGTGGTGGTGGTGGTGGCGGTGGTGGTGGTGGTGGTGGTGTTGTCAGGGTGGTGGTGGTGGTGGTGGCGGTGGTGGTGGTGGTGGTGGTGGCGGTGGTGGTGGTGGTGGTGGTGTTGTCAGGGTGGTGGTGTTGTCAGGGTGGTGGTGGTGGTAGTGCAGTGGTGGTGGTGTCAGTGTTGGTGCAGTGGTGGTGGTGGTGGTGTTGGTGTGGTGGTGGTGGTGGTGGTGGTGTTGGTGCAGTGGTGGTGGTGGTGGTGCCAGTGTTGGTGCGGTGGTGGTGGTGTTGGTGTGGTGGTGGTGGTGTCAGAGTGGTGCTGGTGGTGGTGGTGTCAGTGTTGGTGCGGTGGTGGTGGTGGTGGTGTTGGTGCAGTGGTGGTGGTGGTGGTGTTGGTGTGGTGGTGGTGGTGTCAGAGTGGTGCTGGTGGTGGTGGTGGTGTCAGTGTTGGTGCAGTGGTGGTGGTGGTAGTGCAGTGGTGGTGCTGGTGGTGGTGGTGTTGTCAGGGTGGTGGTGGTGTTGTCATGGTGACGGTGGTGGTAGTGCAGTGGTGGTGGTGGCGGTGTCAGTGTTGGACTACCGCCCACTTCCCCCCACTACCCCCCACTACCCCCCACTACCTGCAGGTGTACGGCGCCACCTACCTGCAGAAGCTTCTGGAACCGCTGCTGCGTGTCGTGATGACCTCACCAGAGTGGCAGCACTGCAGCTTCGAGGTGGACCCCGCCAGGTGAGGACACACCGCTCCTCACCAACGCTCCTCACCAACGCTCCTCACCACCAACGCTCACCACCACCACCACCAACACGACGCTCACCACCAACACGACACTCACCACCAACACGACGCTCACCACCACCAACGCTCCTCACCACCAACGCTCCTCACCAACGCTCCTCACCAACGCTCCTCACCACCAACACGACACTCACCACCAACACGACACTCACCACCAACACAACACTCACCACCACCAACACAACACTCACCACCACCAACACAACACTCACCACCACCAACACGACACTCACCACCACCAACACAACACTCACCACCACCAACACGACACTCACCACCAACACGACACTCACCACCACCAACACGACACTCACCACCAACACGACACTCACCACCAACACGACACTCACCACCACCAACACAACACTCACCACCACCAACACAACACTCACCACTACCAACACGACACTCACCACCACCAACACAACACTCACCACCACCAACACGACACTCACCACCAACACGACACTCACCACCAACACGACACTCACCACCACCAACACAACACTCACCACTACCAACACGACACTCACCACCACCAACACAACACTCACCACCACCAACACGACACTCACCACCAACGCTCACCAGCACTGCAGCTTCGAGGTGGACCCCGCCAGGTGAGGACACACCGCTCCTCACCAACGCTCCTCACCAACGCTCCTCACCAACGCTCCTCACCACCAACGCTCCTCACCAACGCTCCTCACCAACGCTCCTCACCACCACCACCACGACACTCACCACCAACACGACGCTCACCAGCACTGCAGCTTCGAGGTGGACTCCGCCAGGTGAGGACACACCGCTCCTCACCAACGCTCACCACCACCAACGCTCCTCACCACCAACGCTCCTCACCAACGCTCCTCACCAACACTCACCACCACCAACACAACACTCACCACCACCAACACGACACTCACCACCACCAACACGACACTCACCACCACCACCAACACAACACTCACCACCACCAACACGACACTCACCACCAACGCTCCTCTACATCAACACGACGTTGTGACGATGACGTTGTGACGACGTTGGTGTGACGATGACGTTGTGACGATGACATTGGTGTGACGATGACATTGTGATAATGACGTTGTGACGATGTTGGTGTGATGACGACGTTGGTGTGACGATGTTGGTGTGATGACGACGTTGGTGTGACGATGTTGGTGTGATGACGACGTTGGTGTGACGACGTTGGTGTGCTGCCAGGCTGGACTCTGCCGGCCACCTCCAGGACAACCAGCACCACCTACTACGTATGACTCAGCTGTTCTTGTGTTGTCGTGGTGACAATGACGTTGTGATGATGACGTTGGTGTGACGATGATGTTGGTGTGACGATGACGTTGGTGTGATGCCAGGCTGGACTCTGCCGGCCACCTCCAGGACAACCAGCACCACCTACTACGTATGACTCAGCTGTTCTTGTGTTGTCGTGGTGACGATGACGTTGTGACGATGACGTTGGTGTGACGATGTTGTGACGATGTTGGTGTGACGATGACGTTGTGACGATGACGGTGTGACGATGTTGGTGTGACGATGACGTTGTGACGATGACGTTGGTGTGACGATGACGTTGTGACGACGTTGGTGTGACGACGTTGGTGTGCTGCCAGGCTGGACTCTGCCGGCCACCTCCAGGACAACCAGCACCACCTACTACGTATGACTCAGCTGTTCTTGTGTTGTCATGGTGACGATGACGTTGTGATGATGACGTTGTGATGATGACGTTGTGACGATGACGTTGTGACGACGTTGGTGTGCTGCTAGGCTGGACTCTGCCGGCCACCTCCAGGACAACCAGCACCACCTACTGCGTATGACTCAGCTGTTCTTGTGTTGTCTTGGTGACGATGACGTTGTGACGATGACGTTGGTGTGACGATGTTGGTGTGACGATGACGTTGTGACGACGTTGGTGTGCTGCCAGGCTGGACTCTGCCGGCCACCTCCAGGACAACCAGCACCACCTACTGCGTATGACTCAGCTGTTCTTGTGTTGTCGTGGTGACGATGACGTTGTGATGATGACGTTGTGATGACGTTGGTGTGACGATGTTGGTGTGACGATGACGTTGGTGTGATGCCAGGCTGGACTCTGCCGGCCACCTCCAGGACAACCAGCACCACCTACTACGTATGACTCAGCTGTTCTTGTGTTGTCGTGGTGACGATGACGTTGTGACGATGTTGGTGTGACGATGACGTTGTGACGATGTTGGTGTGACGATGACGTTGGTGTGACGACGACGTTGGTGTGATGCCAGGCTGGACTCTGCCGGCCACCTCCAGGAGAACCAGCACCACCTACTACGTATGACTCAGCTGTTCTTGTGTTGTCATGGTGACGATGACGTTGTGATGATGACGTTGTGACGATGACGTTGGTGTGACGATGTTGGTGTGACGATGACGTTGGTGTGCTGCTAGGCTGGACTCTGCCGGCCACCTACAGGACAACCAGCACCACCTACTACGTATGACTCAGCTGTTCTTGTGTTGTCTTGGTGACGATGACGTTGTGACGATGACGTTGTGACGATGTTGGTGTGATGCTAGGCTGGACTCTGCCGGCCACCTCCAGGACAACCAGCACCACCTACTACGTATGACTCAGCTGTTCTTGTGTTGTCATGGTGACGATGACGTTGTGATGATGACGTTGTGACGATGACGTTGGTGTGACGATGTTGGTGTGACGATGACGTTGGTGTGCTGCTAGGCTGGACTCTGCCGGCCACCTACAGGACAACCAGCACCACCTACTACGTATGACTCAGCTGTTCTTGTGTTGTCTTGGTGACGATGACGTTGTGACGATGACGTTGTGACGATGTTGGTGTGATGCTAGGCTGGACTCTGCCGGCCACCTCCAGGAGAACCAGCACCACCTACTACGTATGACTCAGCTGTTCTTGTGTTGTCATGGTGACGATGACGTTGTGATGATGACGTTGTGACGATGACGTTGGTGTGACGATGTTGGTGTGACGATGACGTTGGTGTGCTGCTAGGCTGGACTCTGCCGGCCACCTACAGGACAACCAGCACCACCTACTACGTATGACCCAGCTGTTCTTGTGTTGTCTTGGTGACGATGACTTTGTGACGATGACGTTGTGACGACGTTGGTGTGACGATGACGTTGTGACGATGTTGGTGTGATGACGACGTTGGTGTGACGACGTTGGTGTGATGACGACGTTGGTGTGCTGCTAGGCTGGACTCTGCCGGCCACCTACAGGACAACCAGCACCACCTACTACGTATGACCCAGCTGTTCTTCCACACGATTGTCCACTCCACCGGTGACTTCCCACCGCAGCTGCGCAGCGTCTGCCACTGCCTCTACCAGGTACAGGTGGGGGGGTGGTGGTGGGGGGGTGAGGTGGTGGGGGGGGGGTGAGGTGGGGAGGGGTGTGGTGGGGGGGGGGTGTGGTGGGGGGGGGTGTGAGGTGGAGGGGGCTGTGGTGGCTATGGTGGGAGTCTGGGGGGAGGATGGTGGTGTTAGTGGTGGTGAGGCCGCCACAACCACGCCACAACCACGCCACAACCACGCCACAACCACGCCACAACCACGCCACAACCACACCACAACCACGCCACAACCACGCCACAACCTACGCCACAACCACGCCACAACCACGCCACAACCACGGCACCGCCACCGCCGCCCGGCCACCCCGACTGACGACGGGGACGCTGAACATTTTATTTTTTTACGGCCGAGTCAACCTAGGGGAGGAGAGTCCCTGGAAACAGACACAGACACACAGACACAGACACACAGACACACACAGACACAGACATACACACACAGACACACAGACACAGACACACAGACACAGACACACAGACACACACAGACACAGACATACACACACAGACACACAGACACAGACACACAGACACACAGACACACACAGACACACACAGACACAGACATACACACACAGACACACACAGACACAGACATACACACACAGACACACAGACACACAGACACAGACACACAAAGATAAAAAAAGACAGACACACACACACAGACACAGACATACACACACAGACACACACAGACACAGACACACACAGACACACAGACACACACACACAGTGTACACACACACACACACAGACACACACACAGTGTACACACACAGACACACACACAGTGTACACACAGACACACACAGACACACACAGATACACACAGACACACACACACACAGACACACACACACACAGACACACACACACACCCACACACACACACACACCCACACACACACAGAAACACACAGACACACACACCCACACACCCACACACACACAGACACACACAGATACACACCCACACACACACAGACACACACACACAGACACACAGACACACACAGCCACACACACACACACACAGGCACACAGACACTCAGACACACACAGACACACAGACACAGGCACACAGACACACACAGACACACACACAGACACCCACACACCCACACACACACACACCCACACACACACACACCCACACACACAGACACACACACACACACTCACACACCCACACCCACCCACACAGACACACACACACGCACGGACGTTAGGGAAAAGCACCAGGAGCTGCGCCCCCGTGAATCAACCGTCTGGATTGACAAAACCCCCCCCTAGTTCCTTACGGCCGCCTTGTTGTTGGTTCGTTTGTTCCTCCGCCACCTCCGGTTAGCCACGGCCGGCTGCCTACGGCGGTGCTAAAGAAATCCAGCGCACTCGCTCTGCATACTCGTACACGCGTCAGCCATGTCACTTCATCATGTTGTGTCACCGTTGTGTTTTGCTCATCGCGCGGTGGTGGTGGCGGTTGTTGTTGTGGTGACGGTTGGCGGTGCGGTGCGGTGCGGTGTGGTGGTTGTTGTTGTTGTTGTTGATGTTGTTGTTGTTGCCAGAGCGCTGACACACCCCCCCGCCCGCCCCCCCCGCCCCGCCCCGGGGATTAAATTTTCGTATTGGGGGTCACCGATTATGGACGGGCGGAGGGGGGGGGGTGGTCGCGTCCGATTGGACGATAGTCGGCAGGCTTTTGATTGGCTATGACCGTCACTCCACCACCAACCCGTTACCATCGTCACCCCCGGAGTCACCACCATCGCCGTCACCACCACCACCACCACCTCCACCACCACCACCACCACCACGACCACCACCACCACCACCACCACGACCACCACCACCACCACCACGACCACCACCACCACCACCACCACGACCACCACCACGACCACCACCAACAACAGCAACAACGGCCGTTAGGCGCAAAGTGCCGGTGACATCACCGCAGCGCCTGCGGGCAGGCCAGGTGCACTTTGAGGCCATCGCGTCAAGTGCCGCGGGGCTCGCTGTCGGCAGCGAGGATGTCACGGGACGAAGCCATGGATTGACTGAGGTGACTGGCTGTTACCCACCCACCCCACCCCCCCCGCCGCTGCGCCAACCTGCTGAGTTTTAGCCGCCCGGCGCTCCGCTCGTTGTTGTGAGCGTCGGATCTCCCCTCCGCCCTCCGCCGTTGCATGGAGGGCGACCGCCTCCAACTGCCCGGTGGCCTCACAGTGCACCCAGCTTGGCACTGGCCATGAGCTTCCTTCCCCTCGCCCTCCCGTTGGTGGGGAGGAGAGCCCGCGTTCGCCTGGGGGCTTGCGGCTTCCCACACCTCACCGCCACGCTCCCACGCCCCCCCCCCCCCCCCTTCATTATCTTGTTCAGAAGAAGAGCCCCTCCCTGTTGCTTGCCAGTCTCCTGCCCCGAGCGAAGAACTGTCCCACAGCTCGTGATGACCGGAGCCAGATCCGGTCCACCGGACCTCCTGAATACCACAGAGATCCAGGCGGTATCAGTCCAGCTCCTGACAGAGGAATTGCAGCCTCGCATCTCCAACCAGATCCAGCCCACTGGATCTCTCCTGCACTCTACAAAGGTCTAGACGGTACCGGTCCAGCTCCCGACAGAAGAATTGCAGCCTCGCATCTCCTCCGCATGCAACCAGATCTAGTCCATTGGATCTCTCCTGAAAATCACAGAGGTCTAGACGGTACCGGTCCAGCTCCCGACAGAGGAATTGCAGCCTCGCATCTCCAACCAGATCTAGTCCACTGGATCTCTCCTGCACTCTACAAATGTCTAGACGGTACCGGTCCAGCTCCCGACAGAAGAATTGCAGCCTCGCATCTCCTCCGCATGCAACCAGATCCAGTCCACTGGATCTCTCCTGAAAATCACAGAGGTCTAGATGGTACCGGTCTAGCTGCCGACAGAGGAATGTCAGCCTCGCATCTCCAACCAGATCTAGTCCACTGGATCTCTCCTGCACTCCACAGAGGTCTAGACGGTACCGGTCCAGCTCCTGACAGAGGAATTGCAGCCTCGCATCTCCAACCAGATCCAGTCCACTGGATCTCTCCCGCACTCCACAGAGGTCTAGACGGTACCAGTCCAGCTCCCGACAGAGGAATTGCAGCCTCGCATCTCCTCCGCATGCAACCAGATCCAGTCCACTGGATCTCTCCTGAAAATCACAGAGATCGAGATGGTACCGGTCCAGCTCTCGACAGAGGAATTCCAGCCTCGCATCTCCAACCAGATCCAGTCCACTCGATCTCTCATGAAATTCACAGATGTCTATGCGGTACCGGTCCAGCTCCCGACAGAGGAATTGCAGCCTCGCATCTCCTCCGCATGCAACCAGATCCAGTCCACTGGATCTCTCCTGAAAATCACAGAGGTCTAGACGGTACCGGTCTAGCTCCCGACAGAGGAATGTCGGCCTCGCATCTCCAACCAGATCTAGTCCACTGGATCTCTCCTGCACTCCACAGAGGTCTAGACGGTACTGGTCCAGCTCCTGACAGAGGAATTGCAGCCTCGCATCTCCAACCAGATCCAGTCCACTGGATCTCTCCTGCACTCCACAGAGGTCTAGACGGTACCGGTCCAGCTCCCGACAGAGGAATTGCAGCCTCGCATCTCCAACCAGATCTAGTCCACTGGATCTCTCCTGAAAATCACAGAGGTCTAGACGGTACCGGTCCAGTTCCCGACAGAGGAATGACAGCCTCGCATCTCCAACCAGATCCAGTCCACTGGATCTCTCCTGAAATTCACAGAGGTCTAGACGGTACCGGTCCAGCTCCTGACAGAGGAATTGCAGCCTCGCATCTCCTCCGCATGCAACCAGATCCAGTCGACTGGCTCTCTCCTGCACTCCACAGAGGTCTAGACGGTACCAGTCCAGCTCCCGACAGAGGAATTGCAGCCTCGCATCTCCTCCGCATGCAACCAGATCCAGTCCACTGGATCTCTCCTGAAAATCACAGAGGTCTAGACGGTACCGGTCCAGCTCCTGACAGAGGAATTCCAGCCTCGCATCTCCAACCAGATCCAGTCCACTCGATCTCTCATGAAATTCACAGATGTCTATGCGGTACCGGTCCAGCTCCCGACAGAGGAATTGCAGCCTCGCATCTCCTCCGCATGCAACCAGATCCAGTCCACTGGATCTCTCCTGAAAATCACAGAGGTCTAGACGGTACCGGTCTAGCTCCCGACAGAGGAATGTCGGCCTCGCATCTCCAACCAGATCTAGTCCACTGGATCTCTCCTGCACTCCACAGAGGTCTAGACGGTACTGGTCCAGCTCCTGACAGAGGAATTGCAGCCTCGCATCTCCAACCAGATCCAGTCCACTGGATCTCTCCTGCACTCCACAGAGGTCTAGACGGTACCGGTCCAGCTCCCGACAGAGGAATTGCAGCCTCGCATCTCCAACCAGATCTAGTCCACTGGATCTCTCCTGAAAATCACAGAGGTCTAGACGGTACCGGTACAGTTCCCGACAGAGGAATGACAGCCTCGCATCTCCAACCAGATCCAGTCCACTGGATCTCTCCTGAAATTCACAGAGGTCTAGACGGTACCGGTCCAGCTCCTGACAGAGGAATTGCAGCCTCGCATCTCCTCCGCATGCAACCAGATCCAGTCCACTGGCTCTCTCCTGCACTCCACAGAGGTCTAGACGGTACCAGTCCAGCTCCCGACAGAGGAACTGCAGCCTCGCATCTCCTCCGCATGCAACCAGATCCAGTCCACTGGATCTCTCCTGAAAATCACAGAGGTCTAGACGGTACCGGTCCAGCTCCTGACAGAGGAATTCCAGCCTCGCATCTCCAACCAGATCCAGTCCACTCGATCTCTCATGAAATTCACAGATGTCTATGCGGTACCGGTCCAGCTCCCGACAGAGGAATTGCAGCCTCGCATCTCCTCCGCATGCAACCAGATCCAGTCCACTGGATCTCTCCT